TAAACAATAGCGTACAGCAAAACAAAACCTCATGAAACAAAGAAAACCTCATCAGGTTTTTACACTGAGGATGACCCAAAAATTAAGTTTAAAATGTTGCATCCTTCTAGAATAAGCTTACTTTGAGTTGAATTAGCTCTGTAGGAATGTACCCATCTGTTGAAATAAATAAAAATGAAACATTAAGCATCTCCACAAGTTTGACAACAATACACAGAATCAAAGAACTCAAAGTGAACAATACCTACAATGTCCTTCGGTATTTTTGATCAGCCATCTTCCTTGGGAACAATTATTTTCACTGATAACAAACACAGTTTCCCCTGCTTTCACTGGCAGATCAAACTTTCCATCACCAGCAAAATTGCTCTTGGCCTCTCCAACTCCAGTATTTTGATTTCCTGGCTTGAGCTGCAAAGGAATATGAGGGAATTTGTCAAAAGCATCAAGTAAATATTAATATATTTCACCTCTAAGGAGTGCTCTATTTGACCCCCTCACTACTACAAATTCAATATAAACTCTCCACTCTTTCTGACACAATTCTTGTAATCAAAGCTCTAGACAATTGCTGTTATCTCTTTAACTCCAAAAATCTGATTGTTATTCTGTCCTCTGGCTGCTACACATTTTCTTGTAAATTAGCTACCAGAATTTGGTGTTAGATATGATAAGGATATAACTTCTACCTGATAAGTTTAACTTGTGCTGGGACACATTCATTGAAAACCTGTTTAAAAGGGAATCCTCATCACCTGCTTGGTGGATAATGTATGAATATATTGTTGGGACATAACAAGAAGTAACATGCCAATTACATTTGGGAGCAAAGGGGTAAATTGAACATTATTCTCTACTTGATATTTATCTTTCTTCTCACTGACTGTTTGAGAGAAATTCCATCTTGGTCAATCCTGTAAATAAAATGGTTAATTAACACCACCTAGCAATGATCTACCTGCCCCAATGAACATTGTTTCCAATCTAGGCCAGTGCAGTGCAAACAAAAGGTAGTGTTTGACTCACAAGTTGGAATGAAGTGCGGAGAAAATCTATCATGATTCACCTTTTTCTCAGAGAGAAAAGCTGTTTCACCAAATGAATTATTTGAAATCAACATATTTCATACTTTGTGTTTCCTGCAAAGCTCCTTGTCAATACGTTCCCTTTTCTTCTTCTCTTCTTCTCTTTTCTTCTTCTCTTCTTCTTTCCTTTTTTTCTCCTCTTTTTCTTCCCGTTCCCTTCTTTTTTCATCTTCTTTCTTCTTTTTAAGTTCTTCTTTTTCCTTTTTTTTTTGGTTTTCAATTTCCTTTTTGAGATCTTTCTTTCCTTTAGGTGGTAAACTAGAAAAAATTCAACAAGGAAAATCAAATTGCACAACAAAAATTATCCATAACAGGTTGAATTATTTTGCAGAAGATACAGGAAACAGGGGAGCAGGGATGGCGCAGTGGTGAGAGCACTCACCTCCCACCACTGTGGCCTGGGTTCAATTCCCGGACCTGGCGTCACATGTGGGTTGAGTTTGTCATTGGTTCTCGTCCTCACTCCAAGGGTTTTTCTCTGGGTCCTCCAGTTTTCCTCCCTCCACAAAAACCAACATTCCAAATTCCAATTTGATCTGGAAACAGTGGACAAGAAGAGCCATCCGAGCTTTGTCGTTCTTTGTTCGAGAATCAACACCTCGTTTTTTGGTGCAGACTTCA